TAATTCCTCTTGTAGATTCTCAGGGAGCTCACCTCACAGAGACAGGGCTGCAGATGTGAGAACTGGACACTGTGTCATTTAAGTCCAAATGTGGCTGCCACTTGGCTCAGTGTGGCGTGAGGCTCTGGGCTTCATTCTATGCACCCACGAAAAATACTTTCTCTTCTATCCACAAACGTCCACCCCCTTCTTCCAACAATTCTAATTATATAAAATAGTTTTTATTGAGGACAATAGATAATGAATGTATGATGCATAGAAGAAAAAGGAGCACTAAATCCACAAGGCATAAGAGATCCCAGGACACTGTTGGTCTAACGCAACTTTATGTTCCACAACTAAGATACGACATTGTGGGAAAACTTCACATTTATTTTTTAACCTTAAAATTTCTAGCTCATCTGTGCTATCTCACTACAGATCTCACACTTTCTAATTTTTCCAGCTAGTTTTGAAGCTATTTATATTTTCTGCTGATACCATTTCACTTTTCTGTGTATTTACAGAATTCACAGCACATATATAAAATTATAGCAAGAAAAACAGTGAGGTACAAAGTCTTAGATCCATCCAGCCATTGGGTGATGTAGTCACTTGATATTATTCAGATTAATATGCCCAAAATGTTAGAGGACATATGAATTCTTCTTATTTCATCCGAGATAAGTTTCTTTTTGAGCATTTTAAATAGAAGTTTTAGTCAGAACATTTTACGTACAAGAAAATCAGTGCACACACTCTCAAACCCAATGCAAAGCAGATTGCCAGGATGCTGCAACACTGACTAAGCCCTTTACTTGCAAAACGAGTGTCCTCAGATTTGCTCTTGGCTGCAACTTTTCTTACTATTCATTCTCCGAGTTGCAACCCTCCATATACGGCAATTTGTATAAATGCTGCGAACTGCCATTTCTACATTTAAAAAAACCAAGCGCTTTCTTTCCAGCTTACTCTGTTGTTTTTCATCTCTCTGGCAGTAGGGATTTTGCCGGAGCGGTTGAATGTCTATTTATATACAAGTATCTATTGTATGTGCACAAATTGAAGAAAAGTTATGAACACCCTCTCCAGGTTAGAAAGATGGTTCCCTGACGTTGTATGTGGTTGGGATATTTGCAATATAACCTTGCAGGCACATGCAGAAAATTTACCAGCCTGCCCGCCGACTGCACACAGAAACATATGTAAAAACCCATTTCTTTCCCATTTAAAATTATCACAAGGAAAATAACAGCCATTCATATTTACACAAGTATTTTTCCATGTTATAATCTTAGTATGTTATAAATTATTTCCCTATTCTGGAAGACCTGAAGGTGCAGTTGTAAAGTGCTGCTTGCCAATGATACAGTTCCAGGTCACCCCAGGGTGCCAGCCAAGCTCCCTCTTTCCCGTTCACTCATTCACATGCTCACTTGGTGAATTTCCCTGGGCGGGGGTCTGTGCCGAGCCCTGGGCCAGGCTGGGAGGACGCGGTGGAGAACTGGCAGGTTCGTCCCCTGCACTTAAAGAGCTTTCTCTCCAGTCTGGGGAGACCACTAGTGAAAACATAAGTTAGTAAAAATGACCGAGATCTTTGTGAATCGAAGCTTTCTGAAGGAAACAAAGCAAGGCATCTGATCGGGTGGTCTGCCGAGCCCTCTTTGAAGGGTGACACTGGAGCTGAGTGCAAGGGAAGACAGAGGGACACAGAGGGCGCCTGGGACGGAGCCCGCCGGGCAGCAGTGCAGCAGGTGCAGGCACGGGGGACAGAAATCCCTCCTTGGAGTGAGAGGAGGTCGGTGTGGCTGGAGTGTGGTTTGAGATGGAGCTGGGAGGGTGGGCAGCAGCCCAGCCACGAAGGCCTTGCAGGGCCTGGCAAGGAGCCAGGCTTGATTCTCTGTGCAGCAGGACACCCCCGAACGGGCTTCCGCAGGGGGTGACTTGATCGGGCTTCTGTGTTTAAGAGATAACTTTATGTGAATGACTTCACTCAGCCCCCACGCCCTATCCTCAAAGTAGGCTTGATGGTTAACAATCCACCAAAGAGGAAGAGTTTCACGCAGGTAACAAGTGCCCGGGCCCGGAGCTGACCTCCACCTCCCTCAGTCCTTGTGCTGGGCCCTCCTGCACCTGCTCCTGCCAGCGTGCTCGACCTGCTTCCATAGCACACCCCCCGCCCCGCAAGTCAGGGTGGAGCACCGGCGTCTTCTCTTCTAAGGCCACTTAAAGCACGTTTGTGTTACAGTATTATGTATTTTCAGGTGTACAGCAAAGTGATTCAGTTATATATAAATATTTTCAGATTATCTTCCATAATAGGTTATTACACGATATGGAATATAGTTCCCTGTTCCATATAGTAAATTCTTGTTACTTTTCTGTTTTGTTTAATAGTTTGGGTCTGTGGATCCGATAAATCTAATTTTTCCACCCCCCACTCCCTTTCCCCTTTGGTAACCATGAGTTTGTTTCTGTGAGTCTGTTTCTGTTTTGTGTATAGATTTGTATTATTTTTTATATTCCACATGTGAGTGATATCATGTAACATTTGTCTTTGTCTTT